GCTTTGTAATCATTTATTTAAACCAGAGTAGCGAGCGAAACATGATTGATATACCTGGTTGCAGTGAACGAACAAACTTTAAAAATAGATGTATTTCTACAGAATTAATCCCCCAGAAAATTTCTCCCCCTCCTACCCCAATTCAATGTTGGTAAATGAAACTTTTAAAATTTAAATGCGAGAAACAACATTGCATGAATAGGGGGCAGGGGGCAACAAATTTCATGAAAGAACGTCTCAATGTTAATATTGGCGTTAGAAAATTTTTGCCAGGATTGTAGTTGCTTCTTTAATACAAACTGTAGCAAAATTGCCAAGATTATATTTCGAAAATTGCTATAGAGTTGCTATATATCACTATAATATACTGTCTATAATTACTAAATTATTGTTGATATTATATTTGTCTTAAATCATTATGTTATTTTATGCAAACATACAAGTGCAATAAATACTTTTAGTCTGCTGAAGATTTAATTATGTTCCCATTGGCATTGTGCAACCCTTTCTCAAAACCATCCATATATACCGAGAAAGCAAAAAACAAAGTGTTGAAATTTGAAGTGTATCAATTCATACCTCGAATTTTCTAGCACGGATTATCATATTTTCATTTCAAGCATTTGTCTCATTTGATACCAAATTTGAAGTGTTACTCATGTCCAAGAATACATCTTATAAACATTTGCATGTGTTGTTCCCAAATTGATGACGGAACCCCCAATTAACCAATATCAAATTATCTCACCAAGGACCTAATATTTTTTGTCATATTAAATGAATTCCTTTGAAAGACATGTCCAAAGTGCATGGTGAAGAATTTTACATTCCCTCAGAACAATTATTTAAAAGGACTGTCCATGTGCAAGACACTTATCGTTCGTCTGTTCATCTGTTGCATATTTATGTATTAAAACAGCCTGGGAAAACAACTATGATTCAAAATTCGTAAAAAATGTTGTTCATGAAACCTAAAATTGAGGTGTTCATGCAGTAGCGTTGTTTTCCGTTGTTTAAAGCTTTGTCTGTTATTTCACTAATCATGTCCCCTATACACGAGCCCGGGTTGACTATCAACCCTGGTTGGCTTGCCAGCCCGGGTCAACCCGTCTACGAATAAATCTCTATTAGCGTTTACACGATAGCCGGGTCAACCTTTCACACCTCGCCAACCCGGGGCACCCTTCTCGAGATCGGGGTCGACCCGGGCTGGCAGGGTGTGAATGCGTGAAAAGTTTACTCATTTCTTCATGTAAAGCCGGGTTGGCTTGACCCGGAATCATGTAAAGTGCGGTAAATTCCTGATTGTGAACGTTTTAGCGTCATATCGCATTTCAACATTTTGCGTGCGTATTTTCTCCGTCTCTGTTTAGTACAGACATATAAAATCATACAGTATGGCGAGTAAAAACTGTCCAAAACCAAAAGAGAAAATGCTCAACCCACGTTTCAGTGCTGGTGTGAAATTATTGATCACCTAATCCTTTCTCTGAAGGATTATAAGACGGAGATGGATTATAAAAATGTAGATTTCAACTCCGATGTTGTCGCAATGTGTTCAAAGTTGCGCGAAGGTATGGCGTTGGCGTTCGATGCCGAGTATTTTGGTCCAGTAGATCTTCCAGTACAAGATAGCGAGGAGCTATCAAAAAAGGAAGAAAACGCCTTTAAGGCAGAATTAAGTTGCTATACGGTTAAATCCCTGATAAAAAGGGATATAATCGTATACTGAAAGATATAAGCGCCAAAACTAAAAGGGATATAATCGTACGAGGTCTATAAGGGATATAAGCGCCAAAAATACACTCTGCTCCAGTCTGTTGCTCGGAATATTACTCGAGTCAGCCCGGGTTGAGAATTGCTGACCCGGGTTGGCAAAAATTGTCGTCAACCCGGGTTCATGTAAACATAATTAAAAAATAACCACCTGTGGCTAGCCTAAGAGACTGTTCATCTTATAGATTGTCTGATTGTATGCAAAAATTTAAGATTCTAATTCTAGGGTAATAACGCCTATATACTATACTCCATATAGGAAATAGATTTACAACACGCGTGTGGTATGTGGAAGTTCTATAGCTGTAGCCCTTTCAACATTTTCGTCAAATTACAAATCCAAAACAAATGTAATTAAATGAGAAATAAAAAACATATTAAACACTTCCTGTGTTAATTGAACCAGGAAGTTTTGCACCCACACGTGTTAGCGCCATGCTTAATTAAGTTAAATTAATAAATTAATTGGCTGACGTGACGTGTATGGAACTTATTTCACATTCCATCTGATTGGTTTTGTTTTACATTGAATGCCTCAAAGGATGTTCAAAATATTTTGACTGATACACATGCACAGATTTATATTGCTGAAATATCGCGCTTTGACCTTGAAAAATCGGGGCTCCCGACTTTCGGCGATGAAGTCGTACAATTTGGCTAAGACTGAAGTTGTAATAGATTGCGTGCATGCCCATTACATATCCATATATTAAACACGCAATTTATTCCCCTGCATCGGATAGTGTCACAGTCTGTCACTTGTATAGCTAATGCGTCTTAGAGCATATTGTCATATATTGACACGAATATATGTTATGTAAAGTCTATGTTGGGTTCAACATTCAACAAGACTTGCATGAAAGCTGTCAAGACATTGATCGTCGAGCTGATGTCTGACACGGGCCGGCCAAATAATTTTTGTTGACAAAACAAACGCGCTATTCATGCAGTATCACATATAAACACGCAGTTTTAATCCACTGCTATTCGCATTTATTCAAGACGCGCTATTATCACATACAGTAACGCGCAGTTTTAATTCCACTGCTACTGCCCTCACGGCTCGCGTAAGTAGCAAACGCGTTTTAAAACATGTGATATGAATATAAAATAGATAATATATAAAAGAAAGATATCAATTATACAAGGAAAAATCCTGATACGTAAGTAAGTAATAAAAACATAAAAATCATAAGTTGGAATTTTCTTGCTGGTACATTTTTAATGATATTATTAACTTATACTTATGATTTTGATTTATGAATATACGCAACATTCATGCAGCACCCAATTCTATATAGTGTAATTATGCATGCATGCATGTATAGTGTATCTATAGCATAGCTAGTTGACATAGCTAGTTGACGAGGTCTAGCGGTGTTTACTTGATTAACACTGGAACTAAGCTTTCTAACATCTCGCAATTGTGATCTCAGTACCTTATCAGTGCCATGTAGCCTACAAGTCATTTTACAATATAGTTGCATTGTTGCATTTTTTAAGCTGTTTCGGTAAACTAATGGTTCGAAAATTAGATATTCAGTGAAACATTAAGTGGAAAAAGGAAGGTCACGACAAATATACCTGAAACGTATTAATTAGCTAGCACTTGCTAACACTTACAACATTGACGTTGGTTAACATATGTTGAAAGGTATATATTTCAATGCGGACATAAAGTATAATTTGGCATGCAGATGATTGCGTAATGAAATTTTATTGCTGGCTTTGGATGTTTGCTCATACCTATTTTTACCACTGAGTGTGAAATAAGTTAGAGTTACTTTTGCTGCAAAATGACAAGATAACAGTTGAGCGTGATAACCTGGCTGCGTGCTTCCCTAGTTTCTCTTGGTACACTGACCAGTAATTTTTTATTAACTCTCTAAAAGTTGATATGCTTTTTCGAAGCTCAATACCAACCACAATAGCGCTTATATCCGGACAGTAAAATGATCTAAACTGAATTGACTTTTTTATGTTGAATAGCTGTATATACGTACGTTTGGTCTTAACTGCATGTTCTCTCTGGAAGATGTTTTCTTATTGTTGTGGGGGGCCGTAGTACCCTGAGGAAAGCTGTTGTGTGATAGAGTCAAAGTAAGAGTACTCTTTCACTTGGCCTTGGGACTCCACGATTATAATCAGGAAATATCATATTTTATTATATAAAGTATGGTGCTTTATAGCGATTTCGAGCACTGATAAAACTGATAATCTCACATGTGAGATTATTTATGATAATTTCACATGTGAAAATTATCGCTTTTCAATTATCGGTAATTATCTTTTCTGTAAAAATATCGCTTTTCAAAGGACAAAGACTGTCCTTTATATAATAAACAGAAAATACACGGTTGCTTGGAAATACCAGATTTATTTCTCGTGTTGAACATGATATCTCACTCGT